GAGTTGTTTGTGTGAGACCAGAACTTGAGAAATGTTATCTGATGTCCTATTTTTTATTTGTTTGAGGCAAAGGGACGAAATGACACTTCCAATGAAACCGTTTTCTGGATTACGATACTTTAAGTTAAATTTAGGAAACCTTTTTAAAGATTCTTACAAAAGCTGATTAGCAAGATATTGTTTTATTTTAATTTCATCTTATTTTCAGCCTATTATCTGCCGACGTTTTTTTTAATGTTATTTATGTGCAGAGTGCGATGGATAAATTGTCATCTAAATTACGCAAAATTAAAATAATTACTGACGTCTTATTTTAAACAGATATATTTACCAAAATTACACAAAAATATCCCAAATAAATAGAGTAGATTTATTCAATAAAATCGTCATTGGCTTCAACCACGGCATCAAGACAACTTCGAAATCTCTTGCCACTCTTCTGGACAGTCACCTTAAGTTGGTGAATGCTACCATAATCCTTGCATTTAGTTCATCTTTGCTGTTACTTTGCTGTTTTCTTAGTCTCTCGCTTAACTGAATCCCACAATGTTCGTAGTGGAGCTTCCGGTGTGAATGCCAAGCAGTACAACATGCGGTTTCCAAATTTCTGGCGGAGTGAATTGTGTCATGGTGCTCTTTTTCTCACAGACGGTTCCCAACTGATAATACTACACTGTGCAACCGACAACATCAAAAATAAACAATGCGCATGAGCGAAATTAAAAATATAAAATGACGACAATTTAACCATCGCATCTGTACAACTTTCTTTCTTTTATAGCTTCATTACTTTTTCTTTCTTTCTTTCTTTCTTTCTTTCTTTCTTTCTTTCTACTTCTGATTACTTATTGATTATCTAGTTTATACAACCAGTCAGAAGTGGTATCTTTTAAAACTTTTCTATTGTTATAGTTTCACACTTGAATCTTTACATATATTTTCCAATTATTATATGTACTAATTTTGTGGGCGATCAGTTTACTACTTAATAGCAACTGAAAACGATCCTTAATGTTTTGACCAGATAGATCTGACATTAATACTAATTTAAGCATACTATCAAAAATGTTGTTATATATTCTTAAGTCTTTACTATTACAACGTTTTCATATGCGTGTCTTTAAATAATTTCTTCAGTTATTATATTATGTATTCCTTAAGTTATTGAATTAGTTTATTACTTAATAACAATAGAAAACAACTAGTTTATTACTTAATAACAATAGAATATATGTCATTCATTTTATATCCAATAGAATCCTATAATTAAGACGAGTTTACACACGTTGGGAAAAATAACAGCTTACTTTGTTAAATCCTTAGAAGGTTTTCGCATGTAACTCTTTAAATATATTTTTCCAAACTTACCGGGACATGCCACTATTGTCATTAAACAGTTACAAACATATATATATATATATATATATATATATATATATATATATATATATATATATATATACAAATAATTTATTTTCATTATAATGCATTATTCAGAAAATTTCATCGTCTTGTATTAATTTCAAAATGTGTTATGTTCCGTAGGCTATGCTCCTTCCTTTTTATACATGTGACATCCGACCTGTCTGCGCAGTTTTGAAACTTCTATCACTTGATTCATTCATAGACATATGACCTCCAATGAAGCTAATTTTAACAGCAATTTCATTCTAGGGTTGTTTTTTTTTTTTGGACGCATAGAATTATTGTTTTCTTATCAATGACTTCATATGTCATTGATCTCTACTCATCGGCTACTGGGTGAATGATTTCAATATAGCATCAATATGCGATGCTGAGTAATAGCTAAAGGCTCGGAATTAGAAACCGGAGATCAGGGTTCGAATTCCAGTCGAGTTCGTTACATTCACTTAGTCACAAATATCCTTGGGTACGGCATGAGCCGATTTCTTCTCCCCACATATATTAAAGGAGATCGAACAAGGGACAAAGTTTGTTTGTTTCAAATTGTTTGACAACCATGGAGTAACAACTCTTGTGCGAATGCCTTGAATATATTATACTGGTTGCATTTCCATATGAGTCTTATGGTCAAATCCACATCAGTACACAATGACTTTCGTTATTTGATTCCGCGAACTCTACTTAAATGGCCTGCTGTTATGACTTCATTTAATCAGATCATGTTATTGATTATGAAATCCTTTGATCACTTCATCCATGACCTTCTTTTGTTGATGATCTTAGTCTTTATATTGAATAGCATTTTCATTTTGAACTCGAGTAAAATGATCAGTTATTTATTTATTTATTTTTTTTTTTTTTGGTTTTAGATCGCGGCACTGATTGTGTGTGTTTGTGTGTTGGTGAAAATCACGAAACTTTTGAGACGTTTTTTCCAAAAAAGAATAATAAATTATCAGATCCGATCAGTGATCGATATTGAAACTATACTGAGGACTTCTTTTTCTCATTGACATATTCCTTTATTTATTACTTTCCTCTTTAAAATAAGCTTCTTCTTCTATGTGCTGTGTCCCTTCAGGATGTTAGGGTTAGAGCGATCATGGCTCTCCACAATTTCTTGTCCTTTGTAGCTCTTAATAACATCTGATGTTTTGCCATCTCTCCCAACCCTGCTTCACCATCAGTTCACTCAAGTTCGCCAGGTAGGTTATGCGTTATTTTTTTTTCTGTCTCTTTTACATTCAATCCTCCCTGTGAGTATCAAATTTTCTAAACCTTCTTTTCTTATTATGTGCTCTAGAATTTCAGTTACCTCTTCCTGATGTTAAGAATAATTGTCCTTTTTGTTTCCATTGTCTCTCAAACTTCGTCGTTATTAACGTGTTAGGTGCACGGTATTCCCAGAATCCTTCTGGAGAATCACATTCATATTGCTTCAAATCTGTTCTTCATCTGTGATGAGATTGTCCAGCATTCACCGCCATATAGGACTGATATTACATAACAGTTCAGTATTCTTTTCATTGTTTCTAACTGTTGCAGAGTAGGGCTCAACGTACTTCCTGCTCTTCCCTACTACTGTGAAAATAAACTGCTCCTGTTTATGAATATGTCAAGTAGCCACATTAGAGTAGGATTCGAGGAGTATTTGATTTAATCAGTTATTTCCTTTCTATGTATGAGTATTTAATAAACCTCATATTTGTTTTTACCTACTTAGTCCTCTGCTCCTTCGATATTTTCTCTAACTACGGCTTTCCTAATTCACAACTTTTTTGAACTCCTATATATGAGTATTTAATAAAACTCTTCTTTGTTTTCTCTACCTAGTCTTTAGTTCCTTCGAGAATCTTTCTAACTACGGCTTTCCTAATTATCGGATAGTTGGGACAAAGACTTTACAACATTGGCGACGAGAATGAGATTCGAACTGTTTACATTATTACTGTAACCCTTAAGCTGGGTCTCTCCTTCCAGATAGATTGTGTACACTTAAGGAAGACCAAAGGTTGAATCGGTCGGGCCATAATGTTAACAGTAAAATTGATAGTGTCGTAGAGTAGGACACAGCGTACTTTCTGCTCTTCCCTACTACCGTGAAAATGGACTGCTCCTGCTTATGAATATGGCAAGTAGCTACATTAGAGTGGGATTTGAGAAGAAGATGATTTACTCAAATTTTTTCGTTCTCTGTATGGGCATTTAATGAATTTCTTCTTTTTATTTCCCCTACCTAGTCTTCTGTTCCTTCCATGCTCTCTCGAACTACGGGCTTCCTAATTCTCGGCTATTTTGAACAAAGCCGACATCACAACCCTAACGATATCGTAATTCTAAATTTAGCTTTTCGGAAATCTTCTGTCGTTTCTTTCTGACCGAAAATATCAATATTTTTTTGTCTTTGCCACCTAAGAGACAACAGTCTTCATCGAATATCGATGTCTTTACATAAGCAAGCAAAGTAAGCCAGCGTGTAACTATGGTTATTATGATGCCAGAGAATTATGTGTATCGAATTGTTCTACTTTCTTTTACATACAAAAATGCAATATCGATTTCTATTTTTTTGATAGATCTTTATAATTGATGGCTTTCTTATAATTCCTAAGGTACTATAAATAATTAATTTTATGGCCCATGATGTGCTTTTTATATTCTAGATCTCCTAATAAATGTATAATTTATTTCTATTTAATTGGTAAAATGCAATGCCATTTGTTATTCTATGTCGTGAACTGATACTCTGACGAATTACCCAGTAACGTAATACCAGCCTTTTGTCGCATAATTATATCGTCTTCTTTTTTCCATCTGCTGTGTCCCGAAGGCAATAATGGCTTCTACAATTTCCTGTCCTTTGTAGAACTTAGTAAATTTTGTCTTTTCTCTATATCGCCAAATCTCTGTTCTGCCAAACATTTACACAACAGCGTTAGGTATGTTACTCGCGGCTTTCCTCTGTCCCTCTTCCCTTCGATATGTCCTGTGAGTGTCAAATTCTTCAATCCCACTTTCTTCATTATGTTCCCTAGAAATTTACACGAGCTTTTTAGGTAGGTTACTCTCTGCTTTCCTCTGTCCTTCTTGCCTTCAATATGTCTTGTGAGTGTCAAATTCTTCAAACCCACTTTCTCCATTATGGGCCCTAGAAATGTACACAAGCTAATTAAATAGCTTACACAGAGATTTCTTCTGTACCTTATATGATTCAAAAGTAGCATTTATTTATTTTGGGATTACACAAGAACATTCTCGTTCAACATAGTAGGAACAAACCCACATATGATTCAAAAATAGGATTTATTTATTTATTCTGTGTTTGTATTAAGGGTTCCAGGATTACTAAAGATCGATAAGCCGAACAAAACGAATCAATCACTCAATTAATCCAACTGCAAGGAGGACGTTCCACTCCGAAAGCTTCTTGACAAGGACCGCTGCTTTTTGGATCAAACTCCCGCTTGGGTGCTTCCCCAAGCAGTACAAACTTAACCACTTCATGTCAAGAGTTGGTCTTTACTTGTCCTCCATATCTACATAATCCTCAATTCCTATTCTTACATTTATATTGCTTACGGTCATATCACGCTGAAACACCGTTTCTCGTACGGTCACCGAAGTTAAGCAACGTTGAGCCTCGTTAGTACCTAGATGGGTGACTGTTTAGGAATACCAGGAGCTTTAAGCTTGAATGTGCAGCTGGTGTAATGAATGACGGCTCGGAATTTGAAATTCTTTTCTTCTCCCCCATGTATGAATTAATTAGCAGGATTTGTATCAGTAAATCATTAATATTTCCCCACACTCAAATATTTACAATTCATAAATATATTCTGGCTTTAAAATAACCTGCAAACGGTTGGTAAACCGTAAAAATCAAGGCAGTAAATCAATCTTCATTAACCCTCTATTCTGAATTTTTCTTGAATTGTTCGGTGAACATTAGTTACAAAAGAATTATGAAGGAAGAAACGGAAATTGTTTCACTGTTTCCCAAGAAATCGAGAGAATTCAGATAATAAATGAAAGGTATTTATGGAGAGCTATGATCGCCCACGTCCTGAAGGGACATGGCATTTTAAAAAGATATCATTATGACGTGAGGATGATGAAAACTGTTCAGCTGGACTTCTTGGCTTCTCAAAATCCCTTTTTAGTTAAGTCGATAATTTTTCAGCTCCCTCACACACAAATGTATTGAAAATTTTCACTGGAAGGTTTATTTCGTCTTTCACCGGTATCCTACTCCTAATCAGCGCTGCTTGCTCACTCATATAAAAAAAAACGGACAGATCGAATAAATTTGTAAAAAAATAAAAATAAGATGAAAGAAAATTAACATTTATTTACAATGCTTCTTTTCAATATAAATATAAGATCGTTGCCACTAATTCCACTAGTATAAAAGTAATAAGATGTATAGTACTGACTGAGATCAAGAAATAGTAAAGGACAAATTTATATTGTTATATTTTGGGCTAATCTCTCTTGCCTTGGGCGGAATCTAGCCTAAGAGACGGAAAACTCTGATTGAAAAATCCGTCAAGAAGTCAACCGGAAACTTGTCCAATATTTTTCCCAAACTGTCATGTCACACATATTAAAGGGCCCGGTGCAGAGCTACGATCCCAAAGGGGTGTGGCCTTCAAAAGAAAATATGTTAACGGACCATTTATGTTTGTTGGTTGATTTATTTAGCAGCATATCACCCTTTATGGGTTATTTAGCAGCATATCACCCTCGTAGGTTTATTTAGCAACATATCACTCTCTATGGTTTATTTAGCAACATATCACCCTTTATGGTTTATTTAGCAGCATATCACCCTCTATGGGTTATTTAATGCCGAAATCTAAATATTTTGAACACAATTTTATGACTTCAACTAAATATCTTTTGAGCACAATAATATGCCTTCAACTACAGATAAAATGTATTGTTGATTGTACTATAAAATGTATTGTTGGTAATTTTACTATAAATAGGTATCGTTGGTATATTTATATAACTATATATTGCTGGCATTTCTACTATAAAAATGTATTTTTAAACTTTCATTGTTTTCCTTTTGTTTGAGGGTTCACCATTTGCCTAAAGCTGAGTTCCTAACGAGTGCTACTACCCCGAGTAAGGTTAGACCTGGGAACAGTAGCAATTAGGAGGTGGTTCCACACTCCTCAAAACCTTCAATCTTCCGATCAGAGTCTTTGCTGCCGAATGTAGTTTATCGTCATACCCAGGACTTTGTTTGTGAAAAAAGAGTAAATAACAAATACCTAAATTAGTAACCCGATTGGACAGGAAAATGTTTTTATTTTCAAATCAGAGCATTTTCAAAGTATTGTACTAACGGAAATTGCGCCTTATTTTGCTGTTTTTCCGTATCAAACTCCTAAACATAGAAATTGGATCATTAGATTATTCTATCACTTGGAATAGAATCTTAAGCGAACATATTTTAATCTTCTCTGTTTCATGGGCTTCGACTTCAAATGCAATCAATATTTTAGAAATTATATTTCTTTCTTTTTGATCTTAGCATCAAGTTCCTATTTTTTACCTTTTTTGATTTTATTTCTTTCCTTGTATGTTTTTTTTTTATTTTCATATTTGTTTCATTTTATTTTTGCCTTTTGCTTATATTTATTTATTTATTGGTTAATCCTTTTCTCTGTTCTCCCAATTCTGTCTTTTCATCATGCATCAATAACATAGTGCAAATGCAGAGATCGATATTATCCTCGAGAGCTGCCATACAAAAAGATCTCTGCACTTTACTTCGGGAGAAGACGTTGCACAAAGATCGATTTTGCAAAAAAAAACAAAAAAAACAGACATTTGAAGAGAAGAGGAAATAAAAGAAACGTCCTAGTCCTTTCAGGAGACCATTTCCAATGAGCAAGGCTGATTCTTTTGGAGAAACCAGAATAATAATAATAATAATAATAATAATAATAATAATAATAATAATAATAATGTTTGTATGAATTTCGCATGCTCACGTCAAGTGTTTCGGTGGCCATCACTTGAAATGGAATTAAATAATATTTCTTCAAAACTCTAGAACAGTCCTGCATATTCTAGTTTTTTTCACTAATATCGTCTGAATGGTTTGTTTTTTTCTTCAGATTTCCAGTTTTTCCAGCACTTTTGCTCGTTTTTTTTAGACCGATCCAAGTTCTCTGGTAGCTGTGGGTACAACTGTCACCTTCATACTTCACAATTGTATTCCATTCCCTTGTATGATCAATAGACTCCACTACTTTTTCAATTTTTTTCCACTTTTATTATTCCTGCTGGAAAAGACAGCGTTTTTCCATTACCTGGTGATCCGTTTGGGCCTCAAAGTCGAAAAAGAATTTTATTTTTTTTTAACTCTCTGAGAAAACTCCTTCTTTATGCATATACCATTCGGCGTCGTTTGCACAGTTCTCAGTGATTCTCCATTCCTGTCCACTCAAGCCATTTTTTCTTTCTAACTTACTACAACCGCATTTTATATGATTGTTGTCTCTTCCATACACTCTGCTAATTTTTATCCTACAAGTATTAATGCTGAGTGTTAGATTAGTAATATCGTATATAAGGATAATATTAACCATTACAACCAACTAAGATGCAATTTTGGTTCAAAAGAAAGACCGTTGAATCAGTGTTTTTACAACCACAACTTAAATTTAAATAATGAAAAACATATATGTAATAAAATACCCATCAGTGGTTACGTAGTGCAGGGTTAAAAACTGAAACCGTATGTTTTATTCTTGCTGCACATGACCAATGCTTGATAACTAGAAATTATCATGCACACACGCTGAAAAATTGTATTTCCCCAAAATGCAGATTCTGTGATAAATATCCAGAAACAATTGATCATCTTTTATCAGGTTTCACAGTGTTAGCTGAATATAAACTCAAGGTGATAGAGTGGCCAATGTCTGCACTGAAAAATATGCAACTTTTTTTTTGCAATCTGTGCTTAATATTTAAAATATTAAAAATACGCCTCAAAATGTAAATCTATGGGCAAAATAAATAAATAAATAAATTCTTATAAAAAATGTTATCACATTTTCCAGTCAGGATTCAAACTATTACTTCCTTTGTTAATACTATACCGATCCACAACTCCATTAAACAATTACCGTCCGCTTGAGAGGTTATAGAGTCCCTAGTTGAGAATCACTGCTCTAAAGGTTAAACACAACTCCCTTAAACAATTACCGTCTGTTTGAGAGGTTTTAGTACTCCTAGTTGAGCGTCATTGCTCTAAAGATTAAACAACGTAACCTACTTTGTTTGAAAATATCCGTGATTTCTATCAATCATATTCAGACTTAATTTTTTCCTTGCCGAAACTTTTGGCTTCTCCCTTCACGCATGTATCCATTTATTAATTTGAATTCACCTATCGTTAGTTTTATATTCCTTTTCTCTTTGTTGCAAATCAATGTTTCAACCCTTCTTCGCTTCTAATCGATACACTCTACTTATATCGATCGATTCCTGAAATAGCCATTAGCCCAACTATAGTGCCAATGCCAAACCTTTGAATTCTGTTCTAATTCCTAACTAATTACTTTGGCAAAATGTCCAATTGTTGTTGCGATGAACACACCTCTCCAGAATATGACCTGGACTCGTCCATATAGCATATATACCGAAGTCAGGAGAAAGCTAACCGGGATCGAGCCTTATATCCTTACTTCGGAATTCAGTAAGACTACGTAGGCTCCAAGCAACATTGTATTTCATGATTGTGTTATCTTCATTCAAAAGAATGAAGACATAACAGTGGCGACGAGGATTCGAATTCACACAAAAAAGAAAAAAAAATCTCCCGGTTAGTATAAATATCTGGCGAAGAAAATTCAAAATTCATGGAAACGAATTTTGTGGGAGTTCTTTTATATTCATAGGGCGATGTGGAAGTCGATAAATTCTAAGGGTGTATGGCATACTGCTATTAGTAAATAAAAACTTTTTCTCCCTAGTTACGGCCTACTTATACGAAAATAATACACAATGGAAAAATTGAAGATAATTATTCACCAACTATTACAACAAATGAAGCGGGAGCAGATTGAATATCGAGAACAGTTCAAGGGAATGTTGGAAAAGCAAGGAACGTGCAATGCGTCAATTTTATTTTCGCTGGACTCAGTCGCTAACTCAATTAGTGAATTTAATTACGTCCTAGAAGGAAACATTACATTCTATTCGTACTTCTGAATGTACGAGGCCATTTTCAGAGAACAATGTCAAGTATGGTCAGATCAAAAGAAAATTGTGTCCCGCTGAACATGAAAATATCTGAATTTCATTTTGCCGAATACTCCAGGAAAAGTGTCATTTAATGAAACAGTGTCGATATTATCAAAACTTTTTTGATGAAAAGAATTCACTTTTTATACACGTTCGCAGTGCACGAACCTTACTAAGGATGAAGAAAAAGATTTTGTCGCATATGCCGGTAAAAATCAATCGTAAGTGTAACAAATTTAAACTGGACGAACTACTCCCAGACAGATTTAAATATCTAATCTTCGTTAAAAGCCTAACACGAAGCAACGATGCGGATATACGCTCTTAAATCCTTACAAAACTTGAACAAGTTTCAAAGTTAACTATACGGACTGTTCAGAAGAGTGCCAAAAAAAATCCTCAATTTAAGCGAGAAT